TATTATGAGAGAGTGATATATGTATGTGAAAAGAGATATGTTAAATGTGAAGAGAGATGTGGAGATGATGTGTGAGAGATATATATATATATATATATATATATATATATAGTGCGGTTGGTGAGGAGAAATTATATATAGTATTTCTGGTTGTTGAGAAAAACGAAGCTAGCTAGCTGTCAATGATCTCATTTTATGCCACATATATGGTTGCGGCTGAATATTGCATGCATGCATGCATACCGCAAACGTGGCGGTCTCTGAAAGACGATGGTGGCTTATCTGTCAGCTTCTCGCAAAAACACCAAATAAACGATTACGCATTATTATGCACATGATGGACCACGGAACCAAAGCAGTAGCAGCAGCAACATATACGTACATTTTGTCACTGCCATACCCCATGCCATATGAAGTCATGAACCAGAACCCAAGGGGATAGATAGATATAGATAACTCCATCAATAATTCATTTACAATAATAACTCCAAAAACCCATCCTGAATCAAAAAATACGCGGCACACAGTTTGCCTTGTCCTCTCATCTCTGCTTTTACGTGTCCAAACCAAACACATGCACCTTTCCCTCACCAACCAGAAATTATTACTGATTATTTAATTAATCAACTCGTAAGATTAAGATGGTCACCAACTTAAGTTACTGTATATGCACCTTTTACGTTTGATGAAAAAATGGTTAATTGTTTAATAAAATAATAGTTTATTCTTTGAAATTAAGTCAAGTTAAAAATACTTCAAGTTTTTTTTCCTCATATGTGACTTTCTAATTAGGAAGGTATAAAATAGAGACAATAGTTTGGAGATGGAAGATTTTTTTGCGAATTTGGGCGCAAGTCTTTGGTTTCTGTTTTATTTATTTATTAATATTTAATAAAATATATATATTTTTATTTCTAAACATTTATGTAGAAAATGATAAACATAATTAATAATAAATAAGTTTGTTTTAAAACTTGTGAAACGAGAAAAAGAAAATGGGCCTAAATGGCCGAACTTATTGTCCAGATTATCTATGAGGTCTAGGTGGAACAACGCAGTACGTTATTGGGTTGACCTGATATCAGTCTACGAGCCGAAGGCTAGAGAAGCCCAATCTAGTTCATCACACAATACAACTGGCTCAGCTTAGTTCATTTGATTGAATTTGATCACTCGCCTCGCGCGCAAGACTCTCTTTCTTTCTCCGTCCCTCTCTCGCCGAGTAACTGTTCGACGAAATGCCCCAACAATGCATTTCCTCGCTGTACCGTCTCCTTCGATGCTCTCTCTCCATTTGACCACTTTCCTCAACCGGGAGGGGTGAGCCGGTTCGTGATTCTAAACGAACCCGGTTCGGTTCTCTATTCTCTCTTGAACGGGAACCGCTACAAGGGTCGGTGCTGGTTTACAAAAATGGGTTTTCTACAGTCTTCTTCACTCCTCTTTCTCGTTCAATGAAACATTATGGTTTCTTTTACAAGTTATTTGATTTATAGAAGGATAGAAAATCCATTGCATATCCTCAAATTTCGTAGCATCTTCTTTTTCTCACCAGAACCCACAAGTTATAGTGCTTTGAGATATTGTTATTATGGGACAGAAAGGGTTGGAAACCCGAAATTGGTACCAAACGAGAAGCCAAACAGGGTGGGGCTTTTTTGGGACTTGGACAATAAACCACCCAACGCAATCCCACCTTATGAAGTTGCCAACAAGCTGAGAATAGCTTCATCTTCCTTTGGGGTTGTTCGTTACATGGTGGCTTATGCAAATAGTCACACTTTTAGCCATGTTCCTCATTGTGTCCGTGAGCAAAGGAAAGAGAGGGAACTGTTGTATCGTCTAGAGAACAAGGGTGTCATCAAGCCGAATCAACCCTATCGTTGTAAGGTTTGTGGGAGAAAGTTTCATACCAATGAAAAGCTTGTTAACCATTTCAAGCAGCTGCATGAGCGTGAACACGTGAAAAGGATGAACCAGATAGAGTCTGCTAGGGGGAGCAGGAAGGTGAAGTTGGTGGGTAAGTACTCCATGAAAATGGAAAAGTATAGGAAGGCTGCAAGTGATGTTCTCACTCCCAAAGTGGGGTATGGTTTGGGAGATGAGTTAAAGAGGGCTGGTTTTTGGGTTCAAACTGTGTTGGATAAGCCACAAGCTGCAGATAGAGCATTGCGAAGCCACATGGTGGATATCATGGATCATAGGAGGGTTGAGTGTGTGGTCCTTGTGTCCGATGATACTGATTTTGTTGACGTGATAAAGGAAGCAAAGCTACGGTGTCTCAAGACCGTTGTCATTGGGGATGTTGATGATGGTGTGTTGAAGAGGACTGCTGATACTGCATTTTCTTGGGAGGAAGTTTTGATGGGGAAGGCGAAAAAGCAGGCTGTTTCGGTTGTGAAAAACTGGAAGGATCGTGATATCTTAAAGAGGTTAGAGTGGACATATAACCCAGATGTGGATGAAAAGAAATTCAATCTGGATGATACCCTTACTGAAGATGATAATATTGAAGATACCTGTGGTGAAGTTGATGATGATTATAAGGATGACAGATGTTCTTGGTGGGAATTAGATTCTGAAGATGATGTCTCAAATAGACAGCCAGGCAAATCATCTGGTTTATCTGTGAATAGATGAAGCTCACTTGATCTTCTACTTGGCAGACATTTTTTGTTTGGTCATCAAATTTGTGAGGTAAAATTGTAAATTTTAGAAGTTATGAATGGTTGTGGTAACTTCGAAAATGAGAGTAGTATCTGATTTATTATTATCTCTTCCCAGTCTAAACTGTGTCACTTTGTTTTGGACATTCAATTCAGCAACAGCTATTTACGCTTAAAATCAGGAAGCAGAAATTTGCAGGGTAGTAGTGAAATATTGTGGCATGGTGCTCCCATTGTTTATTGGATCTATGCACTAAGAGAGCTAGACATCCTCACTTTTTAAAAAGTTGAAATTGTGATATATTGTTTTTATTGGGGTGTGTACAATAATAGTTAGCTAAGTTGTAATTGATTTCTGTTAAGGTAATTTTTCCACTTTTGTTTTGGACTGGGCAAACCCCAAACATTGTTTAAGAAAGAACATAAGAGAAAGATGGAAGAAGAGGGGAAATTAAAAGATAGTTAAAGATGCCTCTCTTTTTTTGTTCTATTTTCTTTTGTATGACCTGCTAACCTTACTACAGATTCTAGATGTTTTGCAAATAAACGCATCAATGCAGTGAGAAGGAGGCAACTTCGACTCCATATATTCCTAGTATAAAAAACCTACAAGATACTTAAAGATAGCTACTAGCTAGTGGTGGTGCTAGGTAGATCACAACAATTCTGATACTGCATTAGTTGGCATGGGCTCCTGTTTTGCTCCTGCATTCTGCATTAAGGGCCAGAGGATTAAAATGGTTTGGAACAACAAAGTGATAATGTCGCAAGTTTTTTTTTGGGGTACATAACTTACTACAGTTTTTCATAGTTCTAGTTTGTTCATTTTTGCAAATACGCTGTCTTAAAACTCTGCATCTTCTTGTTGTATTCTCTTACTTTTTCTATCAAAATCCTTATTTCACCTTCCCATGTTTGATAACAAAGATTCAACGAGGGGCCTAACGCAAATAAGAGAAATTAATATAAGAACGTGATATTCATAGCATTTTACGCGTATTAGCACCGTTTTTCCAGGGTGGTCCACTGAGTAGCACAATAGTTGATATGCAAATTGAGGATCATTATTGGCTACCCAATTTCAAAGGCTATTTTCAATGTCCATCTCATCTGGATCCAAATCGATTATTTTATATATGCTTTCCGTTATTGCGCTTTTGCATTCTTTAAAGTAATGTGTATTTATGGAGCAACAATTGTATATCACGTGTATTTTTGGATCATCAATTTAAATATTTACTGTCGGGCTCGGGCCTTAAATATACAAAATTCAAAACTTTCAGCAGCAATCTCTTCATTAGTTTCATAATTAATTGAATACATCTATTAATTATGTTAGTTACGTGCTACATCCAATGAAAGAAAGGAAAACAGCTGAGGTTCATAGCAAACGGTAAAATTGGGAGGAACAATAGCCTATTCTTGAGGTAACTCATAGGATCCATTCCAGACCATATTATACAGGCTGCATGGTCACCACTCACCGAGTCACCACTGCAATTTCCCCTTTCTTTATGTCCAGCCCTGCTCTGCGTAGCAGTTACCTGCCCTGCCCTATAGAGAAGTTAAAAAAGAAAAAAAAAAGAGGAAAAAGTGAAAAACCTACACAAGACTATGACAACTGTTGAATGTACTGTCGACAATTCAATGGCTGGGGACGGCCTTGACTTTTCTTTGAGAAAACTGGCACCTTACCAAATACAGTATGTAAATGGTAAATGCATTTTGCTTTTTTATTTAATATTTGAAGTTAAAATATGTTTTACTGCTTATAAACACAATTTCCGAGTTTCATAACATATTAGTGTTAGACTAATAATAGTTGGGGTGAATGAAATATTTTCTGGAAAGTTTTAAATTTGAACTTTGTTATCGCAAATGTATAAAATAAAAAAAAGGTTTCTTTTTTAATTAGTTTGGTATTAAATTTTTTGTTTACTTAAATTCTTAATTTTTGTTTTGTAAGAACTTGCGTCTGTATCAATATAAGTAGTAACAAACACAAATAGTAGTATCACATTGGTAAAATGATATGATTATTTAAATATTATCTTACAATTTAATCGTGATGAGAAATATTAAATATATGATATTAAAATATGAATTTAATTCACTCAATATAAAAGTTTTACATCTTCAATTAATTAAAAATTATTTTTATATTATTTTAAAGATAATTATATTTATAATCAACAAACTTATCATACATACTACTTTATAACTGAAAGATGGTGTAAGCAACTTTTATACATGCAGATTTTATTTTCTCTTAAGCATATGTAAATATTTTGTTAGAATGTTTAAAAAAATGTTAATTCAGTAAGTATGATAGAAATATTAGTCAACGCATATTTAATATTTTTAATAAATATTTTAATTTTAATTAAAAGAAAATTTAATACATTAATAGATTATTGAATTTCTTAAGAAATATTTATAAATCCCTAAAATTAAAATATTTGTATTGGCTACTTGGTTTTGTACAATTACGAAATCTAAAAAAATTCTTAATTATAAGGAACAAATTCAAAAATTTTAGATGATTAAGAATCTTATTTTTTAAAATTTGAGATTTTAATTAAAAAATTCTCAAAAACTAACTTATTAAATCTTACAAGAAAAATAATTTTTTTAATCAAATTTAAACTGAATAAGAAAATAGTGTTAGTATTGATACCCCATTTTTTTTCTTTAAATTATAACGTACTTGGAAGAGCATTTATGTTTTACAAACTCACATATATAAATCACAAACGTAATATTATAAATAAACAAATGATTTTTTGGTTTAATAATGTTTTGTTTTGTTTTTGTGAAAAAGAAACGAGGTTTTCATATTCATGATATTTTTCTTTTTCACAAAGTTTATTAGTAAAACATGTATATAAAAAAGTTTATTAATAAAACATGTATAATGAAAATTAAAAAAAAGCTTGAATACATTACGAACTTTTGAGAATTTTTAACAGGTCTTTACCCTAAAAATACTTGAAATTATGTCTTTAATTTATTATAATTTTTGTAATCACAATATCAAATTCTTAGAATTAGTAAAGTTAAAATAAATGGTTATTTGTGTGGCAATTAAAAACCGTTATAAATTAATGTCTTGCAATTGAATTAAAAAATATAAAAAGCTAAAAATATAAAATTATAAATTTAAGGATGTAATTAAAATTATTGAAAAACTGATGTACATTATGTGTTAAACCTAAAAATAAAAATAATAGTATAGATTTGGATGCTGAAGTTTTTGTTAAATGATGAATGCGTACAAAACCAGTCCTCCTAAGGTGTTCGCGTTTGGATCGTTAGAACGAGCATTGGCATTGTGATTTGTGGTGAGCGCGGTGACCCCTTTCCCTGCGAATTGAATTGCGATTGCGATCGGAAGGAAGGGGGTGGGTTTCAGTCCTCCTAAGGTGTTCGCGTTTGGATCGTTAGAACGAGCATTGGCATTGTGATTTGTGGTGAGCGCGGTGACCCCTTTCCCTGCGAATTGAATTGCGATTGCGATCGGAAGAAAGGGGTTGGGTTTGTGTTGTGTTATTGATTATTATAGATTGGATCGATCGATCATATTCATCGACGATGTCTGAGATGGCGAACCCAGATCCCGAGGGCGTGGACGGAGTCCGCATGACGTGGAACGTGTGGCCCCGGACGAAGGTGGAGGCGAGCAAGTGCGTGATCCCTCTGGCGGCGACGGTGGCCCTGATCCGCCCCCACACGGACATCCCCCGCCTCCCCTACGCCCCTCTCCGCTGCAAGACCTGCTCATCCGCCCTCAACCCCTTCTCCCGCGTCGACTTCACCGCCAAGATCTGGATCTGCCCCTTCTGCTACCAGCGCAACCACTTCCCCCCTCACTACCACGCCATTTCCGAGACCAACCTCCCCGGCGAGCTCTACCCGCAGTACACCACCGTCGAGTACAACCTCCCCCTCTCCGCCAACTCCCTCAGCCCCTCCCCCGTCTTCCTCTTCCTCCTCGACACCTGCCTCATCCACGACGAGATCCTCTTCCTCAAGTCCGCCCTCCGCCGCGCCGTCGGCCTCCTCCCCGACAACGCCCTCGTCGGCTTCGTCTCCTTCGGGACTCAAGTCCAGGTCCATGAATTGGGCTTCTCCGACATGTCCAAGGTCTACGTCTTCCGCGGCAACAAGGACATCCCCGCTGATCAGGTTCTCGACCAGCTCGGCCTCTCCGCCCCCGGGAGGAGGCCGCACAAGGGCGGCCCCGTCGCCGCCTCCACTGCCGCCGCCGCCGCCTTCCCCAATTCCGCCATCACGCGCTTCTTGCTGCCCGCCTCTGATTGTGAATATACTCTCAATTCGGTATCTATTTTATTATTTCCTTGCTTTCTAGGGTGTGCTCTGGTGTGATTCTAGCTTCTAATGCCGTAATTTGTTTTGTTGCAGCTGTTGGATGAATTGCAGACGGATCAATGGCCGGTTCCGCCGGGGCGGCGGCCTGCGCGCTGCACGGGGGTTGCTTTGAGTGTGGCTGCGGGATTGCTGAGTGCTTGTACTCCTGGGACTGGTGCTAGGATCATAACTTTGGTTGGGGGGCCGTGCACGGAAGGACCTGGCGCGGTATGTCGCTGTTAATGATTTTTTGCTGTGTGATTTGATGATGTTTGCTTTGTTGGATTAATGAAATGGAAAGATTGGTTGATGTTAAGGAAAGTGGAAGGACCTGGCGTGGTACATTGCTGTTCTGTTTGTTGTTTGCTGTGTCATTTGATGACGTTTTCTTTGTTGGGATAGTGAAATTGAAAGATAGGTTGCAGTTAAGAAAGGGATATTTGGCATTCGTTTATGAAGGTTTATGATAGGAATGTGTGGCTGTAGGAGTGGTTTTGCTGTTGAGTTTTGTGACTCGGTAGCATGGAAGTTTCGTGGGTGCTTTGGTAGATGATGCGATTAAAATCTGGTTTTTTTGTGCAAAATTTGGATATTTGTGTTTTGTCGCTAGTGGGAGTTGTACTGGCTATCCTAGAGGCTGGAGCATTTGAAAAGGTGCTGAACAACTTGTAGTTATTTTAGAAGGGATAGACAATTACTATTTAGGCATCCTGCCATTACTATTTATTCTGATATTCCTAAGATTTGATTTCTTCTGTGTCATAAGCATTTTGGACGGAATAAATGGGGGCAATTCTTGTGATCTTGTCTCTTTGTCTTAATTTAGAGCTGAAAGTACGGAAGGTTTTATGGTTAACTTTGAATACATGGAAGGGAACCGTTGTCAATGCAATGCTAGTTCTTGTTTATATTGGCAGGTTTTTATTTCAAGTTATGTTTTTTGCAGATTGTGTCGAAAGATCTATCTGACCCGGTGCGGTCTCATAAAGATCTTGATAAAGATGCAGCGCCATACTTCAAGAAAGCAGT